GCTTTTTAGAAATCAAAGAGCTAGAGGGGTCTGAAAAGTGGCTAAATATAGCGACTAAAGCGCTAAGTTGGCAACACTGCTCTTTGCATGGTTTGTTTTCAAATGGTTTGCTAATGTCTGTTTGGACCTTTCTGAACATGTGCAGCAAATGGACTGATCCAATATGGTGGACAATGAAGGGGGCACTTATTATAAGCGTTCTGATGGCATTTTAGCTAAAAGATTTTTATTAAAAATATACTTAATGTGCACAAATCAGGAATAATTGTATTAACCATTCATGTAGAAAGAGTTTTATGGGGCCCCCAGAGACTTGGGTTAGTGCCTACAGTAGTATTGCCTAATGGTAAATGCCCCCCCGTCTTTATTTACCGATTAAAACAGATAATGGTGAAGTAGGAGGGAACATAAAAACTCTGCTTAAGAGACTGTCAATATGTTTGGCATACATTCATGATAATAACAGACAAAGATGATCAAAAGGATCCATTAGAATGTAATTGCATCATACGCTGCAGCGCTCTGATTTTAGCAGCCAGGACTCACCTCCACCTCTATGCATTCGTTTAGTTTCTTGCAGGTGGCGGATATGGTCTCAGTGGTGCCAAACTCAAAGTACCACAGCTTGTTCTTCATCCTGAAAGTGAGGAAAGACATTAGGAGATGCTAACAGTTCCTACTCAGCTTGCATGTGAAGCTTTTTGACCCCTGATGTGATTAGTTTGTGTCACACAGGGAAGCTGTTAATGGCCCTGGGTCATTTTCTAACAGACCATTTGGAGGGGGGGGGGTCATGTGACCTGGGAGACATTAGCAACCACATGATGAATGACAGAGGGGTCGACCTCCTCATCTGTCAAATGTTTACTACAGTTTTGAAGAGACAAAGAACGGGACTCTAAATAAGATGCAGATAAATCGTTTATCTCTTTCCTGCAAACAGCAGCAGGACTTAATGATGCAGCTTTGTTTACATAAATGAGTCATGTTTGAATTTTCCCTCTTTTCTTATGCCGTGTTTCTCTTCCTGGTCTAATGCAATGTTTTTTTTCTCTCTTAGATTTATTATTTAGGGGAATCGGGAGGTAATATGGTGTTAAACCGGACCAAATATTTGCTTATCATGATGGTATTTCAAAAGTTGAACACTGTAAAAACATCGGGGCCTTAGGATGAGCTGACCGGCTCAGGCCTTAAATGCTGCCCTGTTTCACCTCTTGTTGAAAGGCTGAGCAGGTGATCAGGTGGTTAGGTGTTGCCTTCAGAACCATTTGAAGGTCAGGCTGTCCGCATGACTTACAGGATCTGTGTTTATTTTTCATTCTTTGCATCGATGCAGAAAAAGCTTTCATTTCTACGATAATCAAAGACCAGCGGTTGTTTAACAAGTAGGTTAGTAATCTTTTCTGTTAAAGGTATTGCGGACGATTTTTTTAAAAGACCTGCTCTCTCCACTTTAAGAAAAGTGCACAAGCCCATTTCTCCTCGTGCACGCTCGGTTTAAAAGTTGCTGTTCTCATAACTCATGCAAGCTCATTGTGTTGGAACGTCCACCCTAACCCCTAAATCCCTTAATCACTACATAAAACAGGGACTATATAGTGGACTTTATAGTGAACACAGACCTGACAGATGGTCACTGTTTTTTTTTGCTCTGTTGGTCACGTAACTCCTCCTCCACCACGCGGTGCCTGCGCCATCTTTGTTATCAGTCGCCGCTGTCGGGTAGCGACAGTCTATGGCAACAGCGTGCCGCTTTGACAGCAAATCCCAGGATGCTTTGCAAGGAGACCTTTCTGAGCAAAGCATTCTGGGATATATCTGCCTCTTCTGAGACCTTTCTTCGTAGACACTTTTTCTCTTACGATCCTCGGCCATTTTTAAATAACTGCGGTGAGAAAGGTGAGATTCAATGACGTCTGAAACTGTAGCTCAGCACAGATACACGCCTAAAAGTGCGCAGAAAAAGACAGCTAACGGGACGAGTACGTCGGATAGCCTTACGTAAAGATATCACCAGAATGATTGACAGTTAGGAGGACCACTTATTTTGATGATCCACCTGGACATAAAAGATTTTTCTTTATATCTTTAATTTCAGGGGCTCAGTTTTCAATTGACCTGCACAGAAATATGTTATCACAGAAATCTGTTATCACAGAAATCTGTTATCACAGAAATCTGAGTGACACTAAAAGTTCCACAGCAATAAACATAAAGATTTACCAAACTGCTTAGCTTCAAAACTTGAACTAAAACCCTGATTGTCTTCAATCAGAGGCTTCATCTCAGCTACTAACATTAAACATTTGACTCCCCTCAGGATCAATAAAGCATTATATGTTGAGAGGATTAGATTGTAGACTTTGGCAAAAAGATGTGTCTGATAGAAAACTGTGAGCGAGCTGAGGAGTACTGAGGAAAGCTAAGCTGCTATTTCAAAGGATTTTCTAGACCCTGAATTTTCAAACATACATAAATGCTACTGACTTAAATCAAAATGAACTCTATCAAAACATCAATGACTTTGATATTTGGAAAATGTATATTTCCCTGTCAAGAAAATAATTAAATAAAGACTGAATACATTAAGAGCTAGTATGCTTCCACCATATGTGGTGCCATTTATTAAGTTAAGCAGTCAAAAATTAGGAGCAATATTTATGGTTATTTAGCGTATTTTAAAAGAAAAAATGAAGGGGTTATTTTTTTCAAAGTAATTTTTCACTTTGTCAGTAATTCATTTATAAAAATCTTACTTTTTAAATAAATATTTAGCTTCAAACTAAATATTTA